CCCCAAAACCCCAAAACCCCAAAACGAAGAATTTCTAAAATTAAAGAAAGTTGAAAAATTATTTCATCGAGAGCTTATATTAATGAAAGTGAAACTTATGTTTATAATTTAAATTAAAGCAAGATTTGTCAGATTAATTTAATTGCTAAATGAGAAACAGGGATTATAAACTTGACGAAGATGACTTAGAAAAAAATGAACAAAACTCTGAAGAAAATCAAGGAAAATCTAATTCTTGGAGCTTAGAAAAGAGCAAGGATCTTCAGGTAGAGGATTATGGCGATGACTAAATAGAGATCTTACCAAGTTTTTATGGAGTTTAGACTTAGAGAGCTAAAAATCAGTTTAATAAACCTCTAAGATAATAAAATGGGGACATTAAAGTTAGAAGTCTAATATGATTAGAAAGCAATCTAAAATGTGATTTTTAAATGAATAATGATAAAGAAATCACTGATCTTTAACAAATTAAATCCTTTTGCAAAAATTCTATGAATAAATCAGCAGATTTCACATAAGCTCTCGATAATGAAGTATCAAAATTACAGCTAGAAGGAAGTAATTAATGTAAAGTTAAAACCATTTTTGATGGAATTCAAAAATAATAGATAGAAAATTAAATAAACAATGAAGATTAGGAAGAATAAAAATATTAGATGCGATAATAATTCAAAGGAATAGAAAAATTTAGGGATATTGTGAGAAAAGTATAATTTATAAACAGGAAAAGATTATGTCTGAATCAAGTAGAAGAGCCTATTTACATAGATTTGGAATTATGCAAGATATGCTATTTTGCATTTGATAATAATGAAATGGCAAAACTTCCATGTGGGCACACATTTTGTATGACTTGCATAGAGTAAATGCTAAACTAATGGATAAGTGTTGAAGGTAAGATTTCTAGTATCAAATGTCTAGAAAGAGGATGCAGCGATGGAAAACTTACCAATAATCTGATTTAACAGTATGTATCTCCACAAACTTATGAAAGATATCTCAGATTGAAGTTAGATTAAGAAATCGCATTAGATAAAGGGAAAAAATATTGTCCTACACCTAATTGTTCGAATATCTTGTCCAAAAAAACATGGTCTGACAAGATTTAGTGTGAAAAATGTGAGAAATAGATCTGCTTCAATTGTTAATCTCAGTGGCATGAAAATTAGACTTGTGCCTAATTTTAAAAATCTAACTATTCAGAATGGGCTACTAAGTAAGGTGCATAAAAGTGCCCCAAATGTCATACAATTATAGAAAAGAATGAAGGTTGCAATCATATGACTTGCTCTCTTTGCTAACATATCTTTTGTTGGAATTGTGGATTACCAGTTAAACATTTCATACACTCAGAGATCCTGTTTTTTAATAGATGTACTTAAGAAATAATCAATGGAAAAGTTGATCTTCAAAAGAAGCTGTGCATTTTCTTATTATTTTTGATATTTATGCCTTTTATATTCCTTTTTGGTCCAATTATACTCTGTACAATTGGAGGATTATTTTTCCCAGTTTAATGCTTAAAGTATTGCATGAAATGTACTCGTAGAATCAATGGTGTATTCCAGATTTTTATTTTCTTATTTTGGCTACCTTTTCTTCTTATTAGCTTATCTATTGGAATTAGTATAGGGCTGATCATTGGACCTATTATTTTGGGTCTTGGCTTGATACCTGCAGAGATTTTGCATATATTTATCTTTTTTAAGACAGTTCATTGGTGGAAATAAGGCAGATTAACAGTTAAAAATAGGTGAAAATGCTTTTGTAAATTATTAAAAGATTTATATTTAAAACAAGGAATTATAATTAATTTTCTATTTCTTCTTATAAAGGATAAATCAAGTAACAAGGGGTTTTGGGGTTTTGGGGTTTTGGGG